CCCCCTTCCCCATGCATATTTGTTAGTCTACGCCCCTCCCCCCGCCCTCAAGCTTGTTTGTGAACCCCTCCCTGTGTATAACTCCCTTTTGGTAGATGTTGCTCGGGAAGGGAGGAAAATCTAAGATGGAAGAGATCTCCAAGTGGCTTTCGGAGCTTGAGACGGCCGGTCTCCAGAGGGTGCCCCTCACCACGAGGTAAGAACTCTTGTTGTTTTTGCTGTTGCTGTTGCTGCTGCTGTAGCTGTTGTTATTATTGTTTGTGACATTTGTGCTGTTGCTGCTGCCGCTGCTTTAGCTTTTGTCATTGTTGTTGATGAAGTTTGTGTTGCTGCTGCTGCTGCTGCTGCTGCTGCTGCTGCTGCTGCTGCTGCTGTAGCTGTTGCTATTATTGTTGATGACGTTTGTGTTGTTGTTGCTGCTGCTGCTGCTGAGCTGATGCTGCCATAGCTGTTGTTATTATTGTTGATGACGTTTGAGGTGCTGCTGCTGCGGCTGAGCTGATGCTGCCATTGCTGTTGTTATTATTGCTGATGACGTTTGTGTTGTTGTTGTTGCTGCTGCTGCTGCTGCTGCTGCTGCTGCTAATATTGTTGTCGTTGTTGCTGTCGATGTATTGATGATGCTGTCGTTGTCGTCGCTATTGTTGTTGTTGTTTTTTCGCTTTTTGCCAGAAAAGCACAACTAATAGCAGTGTACCCGCTCGACTCCTTGCGCTGTATTTTTTAGGGCCTTGTCCCGAGAAGCTGTGAAGGCGGTGGAGAGGGGAGCGGACGTGCGACAGGCTGTACTGGTGAAGAACGCCATGGTCAAGAAGACGCTGCTCAAGGTGCGAGACCACGGTTGTCGGTGGTAAAGAGTAAAATACAGTAGAGGGCCCGCTATAGTGCCGGTTGATTACCCTATATGACACAAGATAACACACCTCCTGGACCGATTTTCAAAGCTCGATTACTCCACGACTAAGAGGATGAATAAACGAAACGATATATTTTCGAAAAGCTCTCGACGAGACGGTTTTAACGCCGCCGTTTTCGGCGCTGTGACTGTTCCTGCAGTTGAGAAATCGAGCTTTGAAAATTGGTCCAGGGGGTGTGTTATCTTGTGTCATATACGGTAGTGCCAGTGCCCGATACAGTGCCGGTGAGATTTCTCGGCACTGGCAGAGCCGGTATTAGTACCGGTACCGGCACCTCTGGGAGCTGCTGTCAATAGTGCCGGTTCGGGCCTCACACGCACACATCACACACACCATCGACACCCGGAGAGGTACAAGCACTGGTGTACCCCTACGTGGCGACAGGCAGATGTAAGGGAATTCATCTATTGATAGGGCAGTTTATCGACAGGGCATGAGGGGGGCATGAGGGAGGTACGCCAACGGATCAGCAGTTTTGCATGGATTGTTCCCCCGGTGCCGGCGAATCGCCGGTTGTGTGGGTGTCTTCGGCACAGCCTTTGGTCTGACGCCTACATTTCTTGCATCCGTAGCTGGCTTTGACAAACATAGATGGCTGTGGCGTACATCAACGTTGCTGCGCTTGTGTGTGTTTGTGTGTGTTTGTGTGTGCGTTCTATTCGGGGTCACGCGGTGCTACGTGGGCACTGCAGGTACCCAGGGTCCATCTTGACCTTAACGGAGCTCGTGTTCGTCTTCGTTGGCTACCGTATATGGCACAAGATAACACCCCCCTGGACTGATTGTCGAAGCTCGATTTCTCCACGACGAAGAGGATGCGCCGTTTTCGGCGCTGTGACTGTTCCTGCAGTTGACAAATCGAGCTTCGAAAATCGGTCAAGGGGGTGTGTTGTCTTGTGTCATATACGGTAGGCTGCGTGACAACGTTTAAGAAGTTGTGCGATTTCATTAGAGATAACGAGACCACGCCGCACCATATGGGCACAATTCATTTTCGTGTGCAAAGTGTGTTGAATGCGGCAGACACGGGGACATGCGACATACAGCAGTATTTCATAGTGCACCACGAATTGTGCACATGCCGAACAAAAAAATTGCCGTGGTCCCTGTCACCGGTATACTTCACCACCTCTATAATCAAAACATGCACCTTATTCGCACGCCTAACCCTTGATAACTCTCAACTGCCTCAGAAGTGCCTAAACTGGCACCACTGAGGGTTTCAATAGCCCTCGATAGTGCCGGTTTAGGCACTGTTCGCAACAGTGCGGGTCCCTCTGAATAGTGCCGGTGTTCTGGTCTGGCACACACCGGCACTATTGAGGGCCCCCTACTGTAGTTGCTGTTGCTGTTGCTGTTGTGATTGTTGTTTTGTTGCTGTCGTCGTCGTCGTTGGTGCTACTGCCGTTGCTGTTGACATTTCCACTCCCCTGTTGTTTTGCTGCTGAACCCCCCCCCCCCCCCCCCCCCCCCCCCCCCCCCCCCCCCCCCCCCCCCCCCCCCCCNCCTGGCGCTCTGCATGCCTTTCGCTGTTTGTTTCAGAATCTGGAACCATCACAGCTGCTGGCCTACCACGTCGCAGACCACACGGACGCTCCGATGGACACAGGGGGGGAAAAGCCAGACCTTGGCGATAGGTACGGTACCCTCAGTAGTGCTGGTTGAAAAGCGCCGGCCGGGCGCTGGCTGAATCACAAGTCAAAATTGTTCCGTTACGAGTTGTACTTGATGTTGATTTACGAATCAAAATTGTTTGACGTCATTTTGTTGTGATGGTGACCAGTCAGAATCGTCCCGCGACGCTCTGATACCACTTGTGACCGATCAGAATTTTCCCTACCGTGTGGGATGTTTGATCAGCCGATCGGAATCGTCAACACGCAAGTGCCACTGCTGTGACCGATCACCATGTACCTACCGTGCGCGATTTTGGTTGAATCAGAATCGTCAACACGCAAGGTCCACTGTGGCCAATCATATTGTCCCTACCGTGTGCGATGTTGATTGACCAATCAGAATCGTCAACATGCGGGCCAAGGGGGTGCCGTTCGGGGTCTGGGGCACCGTGGTTGCATGCCACAGCCACAGCGCGTGCGTGGAAGTGGTTTTCGACGAAGAGTTCATCGGCGGGGGCACTCTTCACGGAATGTGCTCCAACTACAGGTACTGCTGCATGGCCACTAGTCTACGCAGGTTTTTCACTACCGGATAAAGCATGGCATCGGCTAACTTGGGGTTAGGGTTAGGGTTGGAGTCTGCGTATCCCCTGTCTGGTCTCTTCATTAATATATGAACCTTTTTTGCGTAGGCAGTCCTGTATGGCCCAGTCAAGTCAGTTATTGGAGACGTTCGGCATCAATGACAACTTGTCCACTCGACCTTTTATTAAACGGCATAGTCTAAGGAGTACGCGACGAGACCGGTCTTGAGACACCTCTCCTAATTTGTACTTTCTCTTTGCAATTCGGTTGGAGTATGAAGTACATTTGTTGTTTATTTTTTGTTGTCTTCGATTTTTGTTGATTTGTCATCTCTGTGCTGTGCTGGTCGTTCCTGTTCGCAGGCGCGTGCTGGTGCTGTTGCCGGGACCAAACGATTTTCCTCGCTTAAAACCGTAGCCGCAACTGCTGATTCCGAGAAGAAGTCAGACGCTCACCTTTCCCAAAGAGAACAATTTCCTCGGTTCCAACATTTCGTTTCTATTTTCCTCGGGCAGTACGATGGTCCTACACTTTTGCGTCCAGTCGACCCCGCTTCAAAGACACACCACGTTTTCCCCCCCCCAAAAAAGTGTCTTTCACGCGGGGAAGTGTCTTTAAGATTCCGGGGCCACTAAGGCACCATCCCCGGGGCCAATGAAGGCGAAACATACGTCAAAAGGTGCGCATTCGCAGCAGAAAGGCGACCACAAGTGGTGTTATTTGAAACCTACGACACAAGGTCATGTGAAGGTCGCAACCACTGCCGCTATTATTGTGCTGCAATACATTAAACTTGCATACCATCTTTTGAATTTCCCCGTATTGTACCACCAAAACGCTGAAAGCAATGGTGTTCTACGACCTACGCATCGTACATGTACACGACGGTAGTGCGCTGGTGTTGATATGGGCTTAATTAGTTGCTTTTTTTTGTTTATTAGACGTTGTCCTCCCCGTGAATATCTTGCCCAAGATCTCGCTACCGCACCTGAGAAATATCGAAGGTTGTAAAACGACACTAGGAAAATGATCGTTACGCAGAAACACAGAGACGAAAAATGTCGGGAAAGCACAGCGCCTCCCAAAAGGTCAAAACGAGGCACAACACAACACAAACGCCAAATTTCAACCTCACGAGACTTCACCCAAGGCAAACAACGAACGTTGGCAATAAAAGTGCTTGAATCTTTCCGCACATCCACACGCAGTGTGCGGCTGCAGCAGACCGCTGTTGATGATCCAGGATCTACAGGTGCTGCAGCACATCTTCTGGGGGGGTCGAATGGTGGAAAATACTACCCCCCCTAGTTTTCACATCTGCGGGGCACCATGTTTCTGAGATTTTTGTGTCCTTAAAGCGGGGAGTGTCTTCAAAAATGGTGTCTTTAAAGCGGGGACGACTGTATTTCCATCGTCGTGGCTCCACGTGAGGATATCTTGCTCTCTGCATGAGTAGAGTTCGCGACTCTCCGATGCCTGCTGCAGATAAGGAATCTCTAGACCTAAACCTACGTTTTTTTTTTTTCTCGGACAGGGGTGCGCTGGTGCCCTGGGCTACTGTGGCGAAGGTCCACACCAAGGCCCGCCTGCAGGCGTTGAGGGCGAAAGCAGCCCCGCAAGCCGAAGCGAAGGGTCGGAAGAAGGTACAGCAGTAGGCGTTGCGCTCGTTGTCGTTGTTGTTGTTGGTTGGAGAAAGGTACAGCAGGCGTTGCTGTACCCTGTTGTCGTTGTTGCTGTTGGCCAGGAAAAAGTGTGATGCAAGACCGATATATGCTGTCTTCGTTGTCGTTGTTGTTGGTCGGAAACTGGTACTAAGGAGACGCTGCCTCCATGTTGTTGAAACCCACAGTCGATCACCCCCCCCCACCCGCCCACCCACCCGCGCCCACAACGGTACCCCTGCGCTCGCGCCCCTTGACCATTCCTCCTATTTACGTTGGCTCAGGCAAGTGCCGCCGCGCCCGCTCCAGCCCCCGCGTCCAACGCCAAGAAGAATAGTGGCATCACCATCCTCCGCCAAGACGCTGGCGGCGGCAAGAAGCAATCACAGCAGCAGCAGCAGCAGCAGCAGCAGTCCGCAAGAAGAGGCAACAATGTCAACAGGGGTGTCAACGTGGCGGGCACGTCGGCGCTCAAGGGCGCCCTGGGCATTGGAGGTGGCGGTACCGGCGGTGGCCCCCGCAAAGCGCCGCCACCGCCTGCGCCATCTTCGTCGACTGCGGCGGCAGCCGGGGCAATGCTCAAGGGCATGCTTGGGGTAGGTGAGGGAGCGTTGCCGGCGACGGCAGCAGTCGTAGAGAGCCACCGTGGTAGCAGCAGCAACAGCAGTTCGCCGCCACAGGACCAGACACAAGGCCCCGGGGGTGGCAGCGCTGTTGTGAAGGTGGCGGCTGTTTCAACTGCATCAGCAGCAGCAGCATCAGCAGCAGCAGCAGCAGCAGCGACAGCGACGACAGCAATGGCGATGACGGCAAGAGCTGCTGCCACGGCGGACCTTAAATCGTTGATTGGCGTTAGGATGGCGGGCCCGCCGCCGCCGCCGCCAGCGACAGAAGCAACAGAAGCAACAGAAGCGGGAGCACCATTACCGCTACCGCCTCCAGCAGCAGGAGTGTCAGGTGGAGTTCGATTGAATCGTCCGGCCGCGGCGACGGCGGCGCTTCCTGCTAGAGGGGGCTCGGAGGAACAGAAGAGCAAGGCGGCGGCGGATCGAGCGGCAGGTGGCGACGCAGCTAGGATTGGCGCCGGAGGGCGGAGGACGGTGACCCCTACCCCGAGAGGGAGCGTGGGTGGAGGTGGAGGAAGCAGGTGCGTGGTGTGCATTTGATGTGTGCGATGTTGCCAGCGTTTATTTTTCCTACGGACGCGAAAGAAACTCCTCTGTACCCAAGTGGAGTTGTACTTCGCCGTGAAAATCGACCCAACTACGGCCCCCCCCTCCCTGTATGGGTACAACGCTCCGCCCTCTCGAGGACGCGTGGTCTAGCCCCAAAGGCATGCAAAACAACATGAGTACCTGAGTTCGCCCCCCCCCCCTCCCCCCCCTTGCTCTCCCTCTCTGCTGTGTTTAGAGCAAAGGCGACGGTGTTAAGCCCTGACGGGAGCGACCGCCGCGCTGCCGCTTCCCATTACCGACAGGCGAAGGGTCCCGATAAATCGGGTGCCGGCTTCCGGGGGGGGAGGGGGTCGGCCGCGGGTAGGGGTGGCGGCGGGCGCGGTGGCGGTGCAGCGTTCAGCAGGCCGGGTGTTACAGCAGCTTGTAGCAAGAAAGGCGGCGAGTTCTCGACGACCACGACTGCTGCTACTGCTACTGCGTCGGCCCCACCTGATGCTACGGTCGCCGCTCCTGCCCCCGGTGGCGGCGGCGGCGGCGGCGGTGGTGTGGGCACCGGTGGGGCGGCCGGGGAAGGTACAGAGCGACGAGGGGTGGGATCCTCTCCCGCGAAGGTAGAAGCACAGGCGCAACCGCAGCAGGCCCAGGAGGCTAGCACCTGTCCCCAGGCCACGTCTTCCAATGAGGCGGCGCCGGCGGCGCCGGCAGCCGCCGCTCGCACGGTCGCAGACACGGCTGCTGCTAGCAGCCGAGGCAGGCATCTCATGAGCCTTATCGGTGCGGGGAAGCCTTCGCCCCAAGCGCCATCGGGCGCCGCTGCCGCAGGAGCCGCGGCGGTGGGGGCAACGAGTTCGGCGGGTGAAGCTATGAAGGGACCGGGCGCGCCGCCTGGGGGCTCGGGGGGTGTCCCGGGGCATCCGGCAAGGCAGGGTGGCATGCCACCCCACCCTCGACCCCAAGGGCAACAATATCAGCAGCCGGGGAGTGTTAGGAATTCCGGGGGGTCGCTGGTGGGACCCCAGATGACGGGTTGGGGGGGGCAGCAGCTGCAGCAACCGCTGCAGCAGCACGGGGGGACGGCAGTTAACGCCCCGCCCCCGCCTCCTCCACCGCCCTCGGGCGGCGGCGCGGAGGGCGATGCGGTCCGGGCTATGTGGCAGCAGCAGCAGCAGCGGCTCCTGGATGCTGCTGATCAGCAGAAGCGGCATCAGCACCATCTCCAGCTGCTGCTGCAGCAGCAGCAGCAACAACAGCAGTATCACCTGCAGCAGCAGCAGCAACAACATCAGCGCATGCTGGTGCTGCAACAGCAGCAGGTGATGCTGCAGCAACAGCGGCTCCACCAACAAATCCAACTGCAGCAGCAACAGCAGCAACAGCAGCAGCAACATGGAGGTCGCGTGGGCGTGGCCCCGGCGGCACCGGTTCAGCAGCAGCAGCAGCAGCATCAGCAGTTCAGCCAACAGGTACGGCGCGGGAATAGAAGGCGGGGTCCCTCGGTGAACCATGTGGTATGCGGGAGTTCCAGCTGCGTTGTAGTGGTGAACTCCGTCAAGTACGCACGACGGGGTGAAATCCTGACAGTTTCCCCACTGCTGCACACGCCCGGAGGGTTCAATTGTAGGTTGCATGACGTGAGGTAGCACACACACCGTGGGACCGAGGTTGGATTGTTGCACTGCAGCGAAAACGGCGACGACATCGGAGAGTTCTCGTCGAGAGCTTTCCGGAAATGTAACGTAGGTTTGGCTTTCTCTTGGCCCGAAAGCAGCGATCCCCCCGCCCCCCCTCCTGATCCCATGTACTTTGAGTGATCCCTGGATTTTTCCTCACTCGTTCCGACCCCCCCCTCCTTACATTACCTACTCTGCAACGATCCCTGGATCGCTGCTCACTCGCTCCGACCCCCCCTTTCTCCCACCGGTTCCGTACTGATCCCTTGAGCATTCGTTCCAACCCCCCATATCCCACCTACTCTGTCATGATCCCTGAAGCTCTACTCCCTCCCTCCGACCCCCCCCCCCNCCCCCCCCCCTACCCAAGCTACTCTGCCATTATCCCTGGACCGACCCCCCTATTGCGTACTAATCCCTGAAGCTCAACTCACTCACTCCGACCCCCCCCATCCGCACACGCCGCGCTGCATTCTTGTTTGTGTTCCAGGCGTTGTTGGACTACCCAAGGCCACCGCAGCAATATCGAGCCCAAACCCCTTCAGCAGCGACAGAGGCACCAGCAGCAGCAGCAGTGCCAGGGGTCCCTTCGGCTGCCTCCAACATCATACCAAAGAAACCTCGCAAGTCCGCCTCTGACAAAAGGAAGGCCGCGGCGGCGGCGGCGGCGGCGGGGGGGGGGGGGGCGAGGGCGGGGGCGGGGGCGGCGAAAGGGGCGATGACGATGATGATCCCGTCGAGTGCGCTCCTGGCGAGCAGGGCGGGGTCTAGGAGGGGCTCGTCGGCGAGCTTGAACGCCGCCGGCGGTGGCGGAAGTGAAGGAAAAGGAAAGGCAGATGGGGTCGCTCCCGCCGCCGCCGTCGCCGTCGCCGCCGCCACTGCTGATGGCCCTGCTGTTGCGGCTACCGCCTCATCGGCTGCTGCTGCTGATGGTCCTGCTGCTGCTACTGCCACTGGTGAGAATGCTCCTTAGCCGACACCCGATTCTACGGCCGAAGGCTAGATAGAGGGGGTTGGGCTGGCTGGCTCCAAGGGATCCATACGGCGGCAGTTGATAGCGACGGAGCACCCGCAGCAGAAGTGATGCGCGGATAACACAGCGTATGACTACGAGTAGATTCACTTCCCAGACTAGCTAGTTCTTGTGCGTGTTTTTTTTTTTTTTGCTGTAGAGGATGCGCGCGTACGGATGTTTTGGCCGACGGAGGGGGACCGGTGGACGATAATTATGTCCTGATGTTCCCCCGCCCCGTCTGTACAACCTATAGCAAATAGTTGCGGCTTATGTGAGCTGCTGCATCCCAGGTCGGCCGCGTTGTTGTGCAGCATAGCGCAGCGCCCGTGCTCTCGGCAGCCGAACCCTCAGGGGGGCGGCACTCTTCTCGCTAGCGGGGCGCGCGCTTTGAGGCCGTCGGTGTAGGCACGGTCGTATGCATGCAAGAGTATGCGTAGGTTAGCGTCGATGTGATATGCCCAAGCAAGGCCAGGTTCATGAGTTCGTTTTTTGGTTCTTCAGACAAATACCACCACCTTTGGTGACGTAGGACGTCCTACCCCCTTGATCGATTTTCTTTTCGTTAGTATACGCCAGAAGAGCGGGGGTTCCCCGAAACTATCGGCGTTGGATTGCTCACTTGTCGTCGGGAGCTTTCCGAAGACGTAAAACTGTCAACGCGCTCCTCTTGGTCATGTAAGTAGTCGAGCTTTGCAATTGGTCCGGGGGGTGCGATGTCTTGCGTCACCTACCTGCGGTCGGGGCTGGGTTCAGTTTCTCGGTATTCATGAGTGGCTTCTTGTTGCCACGTTTCGTCAGGAGGGCAGTGGGCCTGGCCTAGGACAAGCAGTTTCGTTATGTTCTTGACGTCTTGTGAGTAGTGGCGAGCACTGCAGGGTCGGGGTGCTTGTTGGAGACCTGGCAACACATATGGAGGAGATCTTCTCGCCTGGAAATGGTACCTACCATACCGGGGGTGACTACCACGATAGAAAAGCCGATCTTCACCGAGGGAATGGTAACTAGTGATTGATTGTAAAGGAATGGTTTGGAAAGAAATGCACCCATCCTGCATTGCATGCACTCTTCGGTCGCCTTGTGTTGTGGTACACAGTCTACCTCCTCCCCAGGCGCCTTGATGATCCATGTACCCCCAGAGGTCTAGGTTAGGATGACAAACTCAAAACGCACTATCTGAAGGACACTTACACGTAGTACGCGTCGAGAACGACTGGCATTTAGTAGTTTTCGACACCACAGGCCGGGGGTACGGCAGAAGAGTCCCGGGCCAGACTCGAAGCCCCGCACGCCTTTTTGTCTCCTCAGGAGGGATCGAAAGGCTGACTAACGGGCGAAGCGGGATGCCGTGATGCCTACGGCGTTTGGGTCATGTCGGTCTATACACTTTTTGAACGAGCCCCCTTTATTCGCAATAATATCGAAGGAGGCGTGGTGGGAGGGGGGGGAGGGGGGTATGAGGACCCCGTCTGCGTGAGACTGGCTCATGGTTCCAGATTCCAGAGTGCGAGTTCTGCTGGAAGAGACGAAACGCAGGCAGGTTTTGTTGGTTGTGAGAGTGCCTGGCTGCAGAAAACTGGCGTCATTTTGAGCAAAGAAAACACGAAAAAACACCCGGGCGGACGGACGGCTTCCTTCTCGTGACACTATTAGGAGAAACAAATATACACACAGAAAGACTACCCGTTCGAGGTACAACTACACTCGAAGGGGATGTGTTGAAGTCTTTACAGTGAGTAGAGGAAAACCAGCTGGGTACTTGACTTATTTCGAGTTTGTTTAAGCCTATATACTGATGATTTATATCAGTGATACCAGTTGGTGCTTAGCACAAAAACATCTGCGTAGGTACATTTACATGTGGCCTGCACAGGGAACACGGCGCAATATGTCATGTTGACAGTAGTTGCTGGTTTAATTTAGAAAAATACATATATTAGGAACACTATGCAGCACGCACGTACGCGACGAGCGACCACGCACTACACACTCTCTCCCCAGTTTGCGGGAAATCCTTCTGCCATCTCAAATCGTGTTTTTCCCATATGGTATGCCGTATATGACACAAGATAACACACCCTCTGGACCAATTTTCAACGCTCGATTACTCCACGACGAAGAGGATGCATAAACGAAACGATACATTTTTGGAAAGCTCTCGACGAGGCGGTTCCAACGCCGCCGTTTTCGGCGCCGTGGCTCTTTCTGTTGTTGAGAAATCAATATTTGAAAAATCGATCCAGGGGGTGTGCTATCTTGTGTCGTATACGGTAATAGGCAGCCTCCGGTTGGTTAATTCAAGTACGAATGAATGGATCAGATCGATCGTTCTTGTTGATGATACCACATACATGCGTAGTTAATTGTCATCATACATGCCATGCACATTCTGTGACTGGGTGTGGGCACCGTTCAGTCTAAACTACACCCGAACGTACGGCGTGTGGAGAATGTTTAACGTACCACAGACAAGACGTCCCGGTCACACCAACCTCCCAGCCAGCCAGGTGTCAGTGGAGGGCCCGTCAAACAATATCACTGACTGGTCTGTGGAGGGAGTAGGTGCGTTCCCTCACACGGCGGCGGCAGGGCGGCAGCTTGCCTTCAGTGTCTAAACGCACAAGGAGAGAGAGAAGAGAAGAAATGACCATTTTTCAGCAGTTGGTCCTTCCTTAAGTTAAGAAATTTCTTTAGACTACTATCCCCTTTACGATACAACTTGAATAACTTTTTGCGTTTCTTTTCCTTGAATAACTTTTTTTCCGACTATTTTCATTCCAGAAGAAGAGCAGATCAGATTCGAACCCACCCGCAGCCATAAAACTTGAGCAATCCGAACGATGGCGGCGGCGAGTCGCCAACTAACTGATGATTTCACCACCTCCGCCGGCGCGACTGGCTTAATTAAAAAAAAACACAACACACACAAAAAAAAAAAAACAGAACAGTACTGTAGTAGTGAACGGCGATTGAGTAAATAAAGAACGCGCGCAGCGCAAACCCCGCTCAGTGTCATTGTCAAAAACACGCTTCATATTCTAAGGAGGAAAAACACCAGGTAGGTAGGCCGTAACTAAAGTCAGCCGAGCCCCCCCTGCCCTCCCCCGCCGTATCGTATAAGGACTATTGATCCCATGACTTGACACATTTGGCCACAAAGTCACCTCCTCCCTCTTCCCCCCGTGATTCAACGCAGCACCGGTAAGCGCCTTTCAAGGCAAGGCGACATGCACACACAAACACACATACCTGCACACGCTTGCGCGAACAACACTCCAACAACAGGAGAGCACAAGATTTCAACCACCGGCACAGGTCCACATGCTAAACCCGGACAACTTTACCCCCCCCACCCCCCCCTCATGCGGCAAAACACCTGGCAAACAATATTTTGCGAGGTGATTGCTGGAATTTCGAACGGACCCTCTAGTCTCTCTATTGTAGGCAGTTGATATCGTATTGGAAAGGAATAATGAACACATGCTTTCATCAACGCGTGTATGTATGCGTATGTATAAAAGTACTCGACGAAGAACAACCAACCATCACCACACTTTCCACAACCATCGATCGTCGTCGTCATACTTGTACCCAAAAAAAAAAGATGCAAAAAAAGCAGGCAGCAGAGACAACGACCACCACCACTCACTCGCCGGTCGGTTCTCCAGGCTCAACGCCCTATGATCGTCCCGCCCTTACACCAAACGCATCATCTCACAAGCAACGTCATATATCGGCGCTTCTGCCGCACGACCGATTGTGGCCTCTCTCGCTCACCTCTCTGTTTTGTGTGTCTCTCACCAAATCTTAGGTTCCAACGTGCTCCTGCCTCCCCCCAGCCACCTGTGTTTTGTCCCCCGTCATGATGAGTAAAGAACGCCGAGCGTCGTGTCTACAGAAGCGAACGAAGGGCGGGTAGTAACCTTCCGAATGTTTAGGACCTGCCCTCCTGGGCGTACATTATTACCACACAATAGATGCCAAGAGAGGCCGACCGACTTATTACTATGCACAAAGGGATATACAGAGACACGAGGAGAGAGAGATAGAGAGAGGGTAGTAGAACCGGTAAAAAACAACGGAAATAAATCAACCAAATCCGCCACCACTTACAACAGAGAACACCGGCCAACAACAATCAATCGCAAATACCGATTTTGCGCTCCAACTTAGCGATACAGTTCGACCAACCCCCTACGCCACGTGTGTATTGTTCCGCAACTGTGTGTGGGTCTCCACCCCCCCCCCCCCCCCCCCCCCCCCCCCCCCCCCCCCCCCCCNCCGACCGACTTATTACTATGCACAAAGGGATATACAGAGACACGAGGAGAGAGAGATAGAGAGAGGGTAGTAGAACCGGTAAAAAACAACGGAAATAAATCAACCAAATCCGCCACCACTTACAACAGAGAACACCGGCCAACAACAATCAATCGCAAATACCGATTTTGCGCTCCAACTTAGCGATACAGTTCGACCAACCCCCTACGCCACGTGTGTATTGTTCCGCAACTGTGTGTGGGTCTCCCCCCCCCCCCCCCCCCCCCGCCCCACTCTTTCCCACCCGGCCCTACAAGTCCAAGACGACGTCCTCTAACCGCATTCGGCCGTCCGCCGGCGCTTTTGAGCGATCAATCTCAACAAACTTGCAAGCTGGGCATTTTTTCGGCTTACATACACTCCACAGCAACCGACACCCCTTTGTAGAAAAAAAGCGAAAAAGAAGGGCACGGGCGAGGCGCGGCGTGCATTGCAAAAACAAACAAGGAAAACAAAAGCGGTCGGTCCGTATAGGTCATGCCGACGCCGCCATCGCCTCCCTTTGCTGGACAGCGCTCTCAGATACCGCCGCTTCGCCGGGCTTCGTCTGCCGCTGCTGCCGCTGCTGCCGCTGCTGCGTCCTCGCGCTGGACTTGCTCTCGAGGATAGGGGAAACGCCCCCGTACTCCCCGCTGGTGTTCGAGTACCGTTCCTCAAAAGAGCTTGAGCGCTCGTCCCCGCCGCCGTAGTCGCCCTCGCTGGCCTCGTTGCTCTCCTCGGTGGAGCCCGGGTCCTTCCCGAAGCTCCCCCACCCGCTGCCGTCCTCCTCGTAACCTCCTTCGTCGGAGTTGCCCTCGCCGATCTCGGACTCGCTGTTGCTCTCGTCCATGTCGCCGTCGTCGACTTCCGCCGCTCCGCCTTCTCTCCGCGGCCTGCGGGGAGACCGGCCTTCGCCGCCGCCCTCGCCGACGTTGCCGTCCTCCCTCTGACCGCCGCCGCCGGCCATCTGGTCTCTCCGCCGCTTGAGACCACTCACCCGGCCCTCCGCGTGATCGACATACGGGGAGGGAGTAGGGCGGGGCGGGGGGGGTACGGCATCGCGGGCGCGGCGGCTGACGAGGGCGCCGCCGCCGCCGCCGACGCTACCGTTGCCGCTGCCCCCGCTGCTGGTTTCGCCCAAGCCGTTACCGTTACCGGTGCAATCCCCGCGCCTACGCTTGTAGACGCCGCCGCCGCCGCCGCGGCCGCTGCTGGTTGTCACCGGCGACGGCCCGCAGCCGCCGCCGCTTTCCTGCGGCCGTTGCAAGGCGGTCACGTCCCCGACGACGCGCTTGGCTTTGCAGCCGGCTGCTGCTGCTGCGGAAGTCGTGGAGGGCGAGCTCTTGCCGTTACTATCACCGCTGGCCGCCGCCGCCGCCGCCGCCTCGTTGGGGTTGGCCGCCGCCCGTGTCGGGCTAGCGCCGGCGGTGACAACGGCGGCGGCGGCAGAGCGCCGCGCCGTGATTTCCATCCGTGCGGCGTGCTTGTGCCGGTGGCGCGGGTGCGCGCGCGAGCCGCCAGGGCTTCCCTTCTGCTGCTGCTGTTGCTGCGGTTGCTCTGAAGGCCGCGGCGTGCCGCTGCTGCTGCGGTCGGGCTTGACGCCCTCTGCACCCTCTGCACCCTCCCCCGTTTGCCGTGACGACACCCGCGGGAGCTTTGGCAGTGCCCGCTGCGCCGCCGCCGCCCCCGCGGCCTCCGACGTCTTGCCGTCGCCGCCGCCGTCGCCGTCGCCGCCGCCGCCGCTGCGAAGAAGCGCTTGCTGCGCCTGCTGGTCGAGGCGATGCTGCTTCGTCAGCGTCTCCACGAAGCCCATGAGTAAGCCGCCGGCGCCGTCGATGTCTACCCGTGGCGAACCCGAAGCTGAATCGCCGGCGATCTTGATGAACTCGCCGGCACACGCCTGCTGCGGCGAACCCATCTTCTCGATCTGCTGAGAAAAAGAACAACAACGCGGTGGTGGTGTTGGGTGGGCGGGCGGTGTCGGTGTCCACAAAAGAAAAGACAACTACACAAAAAAATTGGGGGAAACGAATTAATCGTACCAACTGGGAAAACATCTTTCTGACTCTACAGCCAAACAGCAGCAGCAGCAGCAGCAGAGGCAGCAGCTGCAGCAGCAACAGCAACAGCGGCAGGTACTGAACAGCCAACGCCTCCCTCTCGCTCGCTCTCACCTCGCCGCCGCTCTCGCTCCCGGACGTCGACCCCGAAGAGCCACCAACCCCGCTTCCACCTCCGCCTCCGCCGCCGCGGCCCCCATTCGCGCCCTTGCCGCCGCCCTTGGAGCTCCTCCCGCTGAGGACGCTGCTGCTGGTGCTGTCGGTGCGGCTAACCCGCTCGTCGGAGCCGGATCCCCCGGAGCCGGACCCGGCACCGGAAGAGCCCACACCGGACCCGGTCCGCGAGCTAACGCCGGACATGGAGGCAACGGAAGACGTGCCGTCGGCGGTTGTGTTCCCCATGCTACTCCCGGCGCTGCTTGCCATGTCGCGGGCGCTGCTGCCGTTTCGGCCGTTGCCGTTGCCGTTGCCGTTGCCGCTGCCGTTGCCGTTGCCGCCGTGGCCGTGGCGGTGGTGGTGGTTGTGGCTGTTGCTGCGGCTGCGGCGGCCGTTCTTGCCTCGAACGTTATAGCTGCCGCTAACGCCCACGCCCTCGGCCTTCTTGTACATCTGCTGGAGCTCGCTGGGGGAGGCCATCGTGGACGGTACCGTGTCGCCCTCGGCGCTGCCGACGGCGGCCGCGTCCGCCGACGAAGCGCCGCCGGTGCCTCCGTTGCCGCTCTCGTTGCCGCCGGCGCGCACCGACGTAGAGGGAAGCGCCGCCGCCGCCACCACGCGGGCGAAGCTCATCTTGCCGCTGCCGCTGCCGCTGCCGCTGCCGCTGCCGCTGCCGCTGCCGCTGCCGCCGGTGCCCTCCCCGCCGCCGCCGTGGAACGGCCGCAACGACGACGAGGGGGAAGAGGACGCCGACCGAACAGCCTTCCGGGGCTGCTGTTGGTTGGGTTTGGTGCCTTTGCTGCGGGGCAAGGTGGAGGCGAAAGCCGCGGAGGAGGGGGAGGAGGAGCCCGGGAACCCCGCCCTCATCTTTGCTTGGCCACCGACGCTGCTGCCGTTGCTGCTGCTCACGGTGCCTGACCCGGCCGGCATCTGAAGCTGCTGAAGCTGCGCCTGAGAGCGGGGGGCGTTGTTGGTGTTGGAAGCACTGCCGCCGCTGGCTGCCGCCGTCGCCGGCATCACCGCCACGCCCGACTGCCCCGCCGCGTGCCGCGCCAGCTGCATCTGCATCTGCTGGTGCCGGTGCAGCTGCTGCCACGGGGGAAGCCCTACCCCGGCCGCCGCCGCCGCCGCCGCGGCGCTTCTCCGGCCCGCTACCGCCCCGGCGCCACCGCCGGTGCCCACGGCGTAGTGTTGGTGCAGCCACTGCTGCTGCATGGGGTGCGACATCCCAAGGTGGGGGAACCCGGCCACGCCCTGCGCGTGGGACGGGTGATACCCGTGTGCCGCGGCGGCCCCGAAATCCATGTACCCGCCGGCGCCCGCGCCGCGGGTGCCGGCGCCGGTGGGGCCGCCTCCTCCCCTCCCCGGCTGCTGCTCCATCGCCGCCGCCGCCGCCGCCACCGCCGCCGCCGCCGCGTGGTGAGGGTGGTACGACCAGTACGGGTTGTGCGTCCGCCCGGAGGGTGTGCATAGGTACGAAGCCTGAGCGCGGGCTGCGCCGGCGCTTCCAATGCCGCCCTCTGGCCCCGCGCCGGGGCCCGGCCGGAGTCCCGCCGAAACGGAGGCGGCGCGCGCGATGCCCAGGCCTGGCGGCGGGAGCGGCGGCGGCGGGGGCGGATTTGCCGAGGAGTTCTTGTCGCTCCCTAGGGATCGCTCGGAAGCGTCCGCCGCTGCCGCCGCCGCCGCCGCCGGATGCTTCTTGTTGTCCTTGGTGGTGTTTCCCCCGGAGTTCCGCGAGGTAGTGCCGCCGCCGTTCATCTCTGGCGACCTCTTTGATCCTCCTTCTCCTCCCTCGATCGGTGATGACGCCGCGGCAGGCGCCGGCGCTCCTGCTGCCCCCGGCGCGGAAGCTGCAGCCGCCGGCGCGGACGTTGCTGCCGCCGCTGCCGCGTCTGCGGCAGGAAGCGAAGCCGAGTTGTTGGGGTTGGTCGAGGCAAGTGTTTTCCCCGCCTGCGCCGTGTTGGCGGAGGCGAACTGGGAGAACCGCGCCTGCGCGGCCGCCGCCGCCGCTGCCACCGCCGCCGCCTGGCTCTGCTGCTGCATCTGCTGCTGGGACCTCGAGTACGCGGCTGCCTGCTGGAGCTGGTGCGACTGCAGCGCCGCCGCCGTGAGGTGCCCGGGGTGGTGGTGGTGTCCGGCCCTGCCCGCCGGCACGCTCGGCGGTTGCGGGAGGTGATACGCAGCCGCGGCGGCCGCTGCAGCCGCGCGCGACTGCTGGCTGTGATGTTGCGAGCGGTGGTGGTGCATCTGCATTTGCTGCTGCTGCTGCTGCTGCTGCTGCATCGCCGCCGTGGCGTAGCCAGGCGAGAGCGGGATGTTCCACGCCGCCGCCGCCGCTACTGCCGCCGCTGTCGCTTCGTTCTGCAGCTGCTGCTGCTGTGATGACGTCCCCCCCGCCGCGCCTTGGGCCACCATCTCCCCCTGCCCGAAGGCGTGCATGGCGGAGCCCCCCACCCCCGAAGACGCGCCGCCGGCACCGTCACCGCCGATGGCCGCGGCGTCGATGCTGGGGTGACGGTTTCCGAGAAGCCGCGCCTGAAAATCAAAAAACAAAAGCAGGGGTGTTTTACGTACAACTGTTAGCATCGACCGCGCCAACCGATTATGCGTGTGCGTGCGTTTCGTTGATTAGCATCGGCCGCGCTACACATCCGGCTGACCAATGAGAAGACCTGGTCAGGCTTGCAACGAAAAAAGAACGCGGTTGAACACGCTTCATTCTGGTGAAACGGTTCTACCGAACAGAGAAAAAAGTCGGACGACAGCAGTGTTCTGCTGCTGACGTATACAATACATTGTACATATATATACATATATATATATATATTCCTCCCATCATTAGACTCCGTCGTTTGCCCCCTCTGGCCCCTATCCTCCACTTCTACCAGCTAGACGACCCAACCGGGGTCACATAAAAGGGGGGGGGTTGGACCCCCTCCTGCGGTTCCTGCCTGACATACTTTTTTCGCGAGAAGGGTACAGCAATCCCTTCCCTCGCGACTCATGAAGTCGATCAACGACACCAAGCGTCATTGCTGCATCATCTTTCTCCCGTCAATACGTGGATGTGAGAGAGAGCGAGAGGGAAAACGGACGAGTCCAGCTCGTTGTAAGCGTCGACGCCAAAAAAAAGGAAAAAAAAAAAACGCATCATGCAGCGACTGGTGTTCTACGGGCGACCAGACTACGGAGAGCCAGACTACGGAGAGACTCTTCATGTGCGTCTGCATATATTGCGAAAGCGAAACGCTTGCCTGCAACCACAAGAACACGCAGTCTATGCTTTGGTTTTGCCTTGAAAGCTTCCAAGTTCAACCTTTACCACGAACGACCTGAGACCCCATCAGCTCGGGTGACGACACCCGCCCGCTGTGGCCGCAGAGCAAGCCCATCCCTTCGCCTCGCATCCACTTTCGTTTCGACGAGACAAGGGTGGCGCAGTCTAGAGGAATCTCTCGCTCTCTAGCGTGTGTTGGTGATTAATTTTGTGCATATCTTCCCACAAAACTACTTGTAGGATGAACACAACCAAACCAGCAGCAGCGTCATCGGCCGTTTTCGACCTTGAACTGCAAAGACGAATCCACCCGAAACCACAAGTAAGCGAGAGAACACACGCCGCGGCAGCGGCAGAGACTCATGTGTGGCAGCAGCGCGCTCTCAGCGTGTACGGAAAGAGCCTCTCTCTCTCTCTCTCTCTCTCGCTGCCGTCTATTGAAGCTGCTACAGCGGTGAGTCATCAAAACTATGTGTTGTAGTCTTGTAGTTTCCGGGGGCTGCATGGACCAGCTGAAAACAAAAAAATGACCCGAAACACAACACATGCGCCGGGATACTCCCACCGACTGTCGGTTATTTTCTGTGCCATCCCTAACGAGGAGGGAAGGAGAGGCCGCTTGCGAAGCGGGTACGATTATGCAAGTAGCCTCACCAACAAAACCACAAGCACAACACAAGCAACCCCGCTGTTGGTGCGAAAAAAAAAGTTACGCTTCGCAGTCCAACAGACACAGGAATACGCACGTGTGAGCTGTGGTGATCATAAGAAAAAGAAGAAGGGTGTTTTTTTGTTTAACCTTGAACCTGTTCCTCACGCCACGTCAACGTCCTGGCGCACTACGTGTCTCTACAAGGTCTCCTATCGTTTCTCTCGTATTTCCCCCCCCCTTCCCCCCCCCCGCCCTCCACACACGCCAGGTAGCATCAGCCGCCAAACCCACACCGTCAAGCCATCTCAAGTTGTCCGCGACGTGCTCCGCGCTCTATCTTTCTCCGCGGACCGTCCCAGGCTGTCTGCGTCATTTGCGTTGATCCCTTCGATCTCGACTGATAGATTTCCCATCTCTTCTTTTTTGTCACTCTCTCATCTCACCCTGGTTTCTGTGCTTATCAACTGAACCCTGAAGCAAAAAAAATTCTCGACAAGGGGTTTGTTGCACATACAAGACAAAAATATAGGCACGGATGGCCTCCTGATAGCCGGCGGCTGGCTCACCTCTATCCCCAAGATTCCCGTGCGCTTCTCCTTGTTCCGTTCTAGCCTAGCCTGGAACCTCGCTTCCAGCTCTGCTAGCTCCTCCACTGCCTGCTTGGCGACTTCGTATGTTGCGGTAGTTCTCTCGCAGGAGTGGTACACTCGCTTCCCAAGGCAGTTGGTCCCGGTAAATTTTTTGGTTATCCGCATCGGGTCGCAGTCCAGCTTCTGCGCGAGGTAGGCGCGCAGGGTCGTGCCGTCCGGCAGCTGCAGCACGCCGAGGCTGAAGTAGTGGATTATTCTTGCCGTCAGAGCTTCCTCCTCGCTCTGTGTTGTTTGCGTTGATTTTTTTTTGGTCGAAAAAACAACGTACGGCACCAGCAGCAGAGAGAGAGAGAGAGCGGGGGACAGAGAGAGAGATGACGAAAGAGAGAGGCGGACGGTGTGCTGGTGTTCAGAGACAAAAACGAGAGACAAAAACGGGCGTGCGACAAACCGCCGACAACGAGATACCTATCGATGCAGGGCATCCAGGCACAGCAGAGGGGATGCCTCCGAGCTCTCCACCCTTTCCCACCCAGCGCGCACGCCTACCCACTCGGCCTTCCCATTTTGTGCCCGCACAAATCGGTACCAGCGAAAATAGGACACGTTGACGTGTCTTGACTCATCCCTTGCTCCCCAGCACCAAACGCGCTACACACGCCGCCGCAGACGCACCGTCCACTTTCCCTTTCTTGATATGGCGTTCATGTTAGCCATGTGGTAGCGCTCGTGCCCTTCGTGGCCTCCAAGATGCTCAGCAGGGCGTGGTTGCTGTTGTTGTTGACCAAGCTCGTTGATCGAAAGTACGTCTTCAGAATGGTCAAGTACGTCGCCGATGGGCTATTCGATGGACTGGTCGTTAGGTCATCAACGGCATCCCGCCCCGTCGCAAGTTCTGCATGTCCAGCTGTAACATCTGCGTGCCCCCCCCCCGTGTGCCCGCTGTGTGGTGCATTCGTGGCCCCTTATCGCTCTCATGAATCAAGAACACCAGGGAAGTCATGCGTGACTCCGCGAACACACTGGGTCAGGGCCCGTGCTTTATTTGCTCCATGGGGTTTCCGTTTTTTTTTGGAAAGCAGCTGGAAAGGCGGTCGTCCTGAAGAGTTTTTTTCCTTCATACCTGTGTTGTTTGTTGCTCGCATGGGTTAGACTATCTAGCTCTGTGGTCCACAAAAATTGAGAGCCCGTGGCCGCGAAAACCCGGCACATATGCATACGAGGCCGGGGGAACCATAACAACAATAGGGTACAAACCGCTCGGAAAAAGAAAACAAAATGACAGCTACCGCACCGACCGGTCAAGAAAGCAGCCCGTTGTACCAGCAGGAAGTGCGCATGTTCGCATCCATGCGATATCTTTGTAGTATCCATTCCTTGGATGTTTTGTGTAAGCACGATACCCACAGCGATTCCTTGCCCTCGTCGACCGCGAAATCGACATTTTCAACGGGGGGGCTGGCTAGACACGAACTGATGTTTGTCCAGAATATTTGCCTTGTTGCTGGGGAATGTCCAGAGATAAGATCACGTCCCGTTCGAATGTAGGTAAACCTCGAACAGGGGGTCATTCTTCTGTGTTTGTACTTGTTTTTCTTAAGATCTCACGACCTCCGGCAAACATAGTCTTACAATGGGGTTAACAGACAGCAGCAGTCTCGTGCTCATTACCGTATACGACACAAGAAAACACACCCCCTAGACCGATTTTCGAAGCTCAATTACTCAACTGCAGGAACAATCACAGCGCCGTAAACGGCGGCGTTGAAACCGTCTCGTCGAGAGCTTTCCAAAAGTGTATCGTTTCGTTTATGCATCCTCTTCGTCGTGGAGTAATCGAGCTTTGAAAATCAGTCCAGGGGGTGTGTTATCTTGTGTCATATACGGTATACTAAACCATGCCCGCCGCATAAGACCCAACGAACCGTGTTCCTTCACGCAGACATACGACAGCACACACACATACGGTATCTTCCGGTAGCGTGAGATACCACGTGCACCCCCTCGAACGAATTCCAAAGCTCGGTTACTCCAGCAGGACAAATAGGGTGCCACTAACTGTCTTCGGAAAAACTCTCGACGAGACGGTTCTAACGCCGCCACTTCTCGCCCCTGTATTGCCTGCAAAAAGCGGACTTTGAAAACCGACCCGGGGGACGTGGTGCCATACATCCACGCGACCTACAGCAGTAATATGCCCATTTTTCTTTCATCGCTTTGTTTCTTCGTGCACTGCCTTCCCCCTCCTCTTCCTGGGAACCACACCCTCTCCCAAAAGCTTCAAGGAACCATGTCATGCGTTTGAGAAGTATTTGCAGATTCAACGAATGAAGCTTCAGGCGCACACCGGTCTGGTGCTATACAATAATACCCCCGTTCCATGTGTGTGTGGTAATACCCTCCCCTTCCTTTCCACCCCCCCCCCTGGTGTTTGCCATCGGGGATGGGTTGTCGTCGCTTGGCAACGACGTTGTAAAACAAGCCACCCCCTCGGTGTTTGCCATCGGGATTGGGTTTTCGTCGCTTGGCAGTGACGTTGTCAAACAAGCCAATTCACTTCGTCGACTCGGAAACCAGGATACCGTTTTTTTTGTTACCTCTGCGGTAACCATAATGGTAGCCGAGTAGATTACGTTGTGCGGGGTGGAGAAGCCTCACTCCGCGCAAGGGGGATGATCGCACCACGTTGTGTTAAATTGGTCAAGCACACTCACTCGCGGCAGTTACACAGTGCTTACAACTGTCTCTGGAAGTGAAAGCGCCAGAAAATAAATTAAGTCATACGCAGCTATCATCCGCATGTAAGGAAATGAGCACAAGACGCCGAACACCCTTACTTGGCAGGATGCAGCGCACCCTTCATGCGACTCGCCGAATACCTCACGGCACTTCGCGCTTGGTGATGTGAGAGCCTGGTCCAGTGAGAAACCGGCGTGCTCCGTCCTGGCTTTGTAGGGATGCGAGGTCAATTGTCTAACGACTACGGCACGCTGACTGATCGAACGGTGTAACTTTATCTTACACACGACTATGAGTACACCCCCCCCGCATAGGCCCAAAAAGAAGAGACATCGGAGGCAGACGTTGGGAAGGTAGAACTAGAAAAGGAGTTCACTGAGGACGAGGTTGAGGCGTGTGTGAACAAGCTGAAGTGCCACAAAGCAGCAGGAGCGGATGGGATAGTCAACGAGTTCATGAAGTTTGGGGGAAAGGGGATGATCCAGATGATGGTTGTGTTGTTGTTGTTGTCTTCACATTAAAAACCATCCCGGTCTCTCTATCCAGTACCTCCTTCTGTCTCAATCTCTCCGTACTAATCCAGCACTTGACTCGGTCAATTTCCGTGGTCACAGGCTAACGTACCTAGAAAAGGTATACCAAAATAAAATGGACCCCAAGGGTTAGCAGAGCGATAAAATACAAGAAAACAAAAGAATCAGAAACAAATAAATAAATAAATAGTGGAACGTGCGCACCACCAGCCTGGGGGGTAGCCTTCCGGAAGGACCCCAAGG